CAGTGGTTGCTGAAAATAGCGATCGCCAGTGAAGGTGGGATCTGAGATGGAGAGCGGTTTTTTTTCCTTTCAGATAGAGAGAGAGAACCGGGGAGAGGGGCGCGGGGGATGGGGAGGGATTGAAGATTGAAGAACAGGGAGTGTCTAAGCGCAGGGTTTTTATTTCAATTCATTAAAATAATTATTTTAGTTTTTTATTCAAAAAAATTATAAATGCACAAAGTTTATTTTACAGTTTATAATAATAAGAAATAAACTAAATTTCAATGTAAAAAAATTATATTTTTTAAATATAGAATAAAAATGTTTTAATTTAAAAAAAATATTTTTTGAATATATGATTTAAAATCCTTGCATAAATATATTCTATATTTATAGGAAAAAAAATATTTTTTTAATATAGTATAATTTTTTTTAGATTTAAATATTTTAATTTAAAAACATACCATAACATTTTTTAATATGTGATAATTTTTTTAAAATAATTTTTAAATTTTATTATTGACAACGTGTATAATATATATTTACATTGATTTTTTTTAATTTTTTTATATGAAATATAAAATTTTTATTTTTTTTAATTTTTTCAAGTTAATACATTAGACCTATTTCTTAACTAGATTAACTCCAAACCCAGTTTAATAACTATAATTTTTGCTTTCCAGTCAGGGAGCTAAAGCTAAACTAAACTTACCATACACGAAAGGACAAAATAATAATATTTTTAAACCCTAAACCATAAACTAGGAGAATATTGAAGAAATGAGTAGACACTAAACAAAAAGCTGGAAAATTCTTCAGATTTGGGTTTTCAATATGTAATCAGATTAGGGTTTTTGCTTTCCATCCATCAAGCTAAAGTTAAGCTTAATACATATGAGGACAAAAGAATAGTATCACACAGTTTTACCATTATCTTCCATTAAAAAATGCACTGGCAAGAAAAAAAAGAACAAAAATCAAAACTTGAAAAGAACCCATCATTGATATGGGAAAAAAATGGCAAATACACAGCTTTTTTGCCTATGCAGAAACAGGACTCGATGAGCTGTGGAGAGAGAGCATGTTTGAAGAGCCCTTGGCTACTGCAAACAACATCAATCAATGTCAGAGAAACATAACATTGTCTTCAGAAATAGAGCTGAAGACAGAAAGAGCTCGAGAGAAATAGCTCATCAAATTCAACTAGTCAAAGTCATATGATGGTACAAGACAGAAGGAGCTAAAGATAAATAGAGCTGGTCAAGGCCTCGGAGACATGTAACATGTAATTTGTGGCATATTAGAGTTGAAAACCATAAAAGCAAAATTGCAAGATGGAAATGAATCACACAAGCAAAAATAATGAGATGCACACTACGGATCAACTTGGACATCCAAATAGAGACTCAAATAGCAAACCAAATCAGTGTTATTCTTTAGAAACATGAATTTATTTCCAAAACAAAGCATGCAAAAAGCAACATACACTTCCGGTCGGACCGGTTTGGTCAAATTGGTTCTAGTTTAAAGTTTAAAATACATTGAACCAGGTCCAACCCAGTAAAATAAAAATTAATTTTTATTTTTTAGTTATTTTTTATTCAAAAAAATAGTGTTTAACATAAAATTTAATGACACTACATAAATTAGATAGAAATAGCTTGATAAAGTAGCATTTACAGAATTTGATCGCAATCTCAATTTCATTCTTAATTATATTTTACCTGATGTTATTGCCGCTTAAAAAATAAAAAAAAACTATAGTTCTTGTTGGATATATTTTATACGTGATGAAATTGTAGATATTTTAATGAAACAATAAAAAATATTTTATATAAAGTATTATTTATTTCATGATGTAATAACAAAAGTTAAATCTATAATATTTAAATTAAAAACTATCAATATTAATATATATTTTTTAAAATTATTTTAAAACCTCAATTTCAAAAGCATTATTAACCAAATACATTAAACTACTTTTTTTTAACCTCAATTTCAATCACAGTTTTAACCAAACACCTATTTCTTCAAACTAATCTCAATTAAAAATATTTTTTATAAAATGTTTTTCTTTAAATTATCATCATAACAGCTACCAGTACCAAATAGATTCTAATTTAACACTTGCTCTCTTGGACTCTTGCAGACTGTATACTCAGTGGAATGGCATCGTAAGGGAGACTATTTCTCAACAGTGATGCCAGCTGATATCCTTTTTTCCCACGTCGTTTGATTTGATTTTTGTTTCTAGAATGTACTGTTCCATGAATGAAGTCTGTCGGTCTCACTTGACTTTTAGGTGCTTAGTTTGGTGACTTAGAGCCCCTTTATGTATCATTTTCTTGCTCTTATTGGCTCCTATTTTTGTAAGACAATTTCATGGTTGCAAAGGAATGACTGTTCATTCATATTCAGTGAGGAATGTGTTGCATTTAGTGCCATTGGTTGGTAGATGAGCTGCATATTAAGATGGATGATGTTTCTAAACTAAAAAAAGCATGCATTTCTTTCCATCTCTTAATTATATTCATCAGCAGTTTTTTTTCTGCATTTTGACAATCCTGTGATCTTATTATTTCTCCAGGCTTAGAATTGTCATTTTGTATTCTAGTTTTACTATTTCATGGGATTTTTTTTCATCTGTTTGCCAAACCATGGGCATCATCTTCTGAAGTTCATCAATCTTTTATACTATATTCTGGTTTTGTTTTCTTTTGATTACACATAGAACTGCAAATTCCCTTGTGAAACTAGCGCACATGACAAGTGAAACTCTATATCAAAAGTGTGGTATTCATTTGTTTGAGGCAGTACTTGAGTATATTTTGACATGTGCTCTTGTTCGCATGTCTTGTTTCATTGGTATCTCAAAGTTGGTCTTCTATAAACTTAATTTTACCCCGAGGCTGAGTAATTTACTCAGAAGGAAACAAGAATACCTATTGCCTTTGATTTGTAGTCCTGACCTATTGATTACGTGATTCAAAAGCATTTCTTATCCACCAGCATTTCTGACCTATTGAAATTTAGACACTCTACTAGAAGTAGTTACCCTCAGCACTTGAAGGATATGACTTTTCAATAATAGAACAGTTTTAGCCAATCCCAGATCAGACATCTGTGCATGTGCAGCTATAATTGTTTCACCAGCTCTTAGATGGGGCAAAAAAAAGCTATATATTGCTAGAAGTGGTGGCAAGGGGTTGCTTTGTGGTTAAATCTTCTGTTTGCTGTTTGTAGCTTTTGTCATAACGTTTATGTGCTACTGCATTTACATACAGGTCTAATGAAGCCTTCAACATGAATTGTCGAGAGGAAACTTACAGTCGTAATTGATTGTTGTAATGGATTCGGGATTGTTTTGTAGGAGTATTGGACTGCAATTTCCACCCACAGCAACCGTGGTTATTCACCGCTGGTGCTGATTCTCTGATAAAACTTTGTTGTCACTAAGATTATGCAAAAAGAAGCATGTGTTGTTCCAGGTCAGGCCAGTTTGAGAAAGATTGTAAACCAGATGACAAAGAGATGAAAGTTGCTGGAGAGACGCTGGAATTGTATCGGTGGTAGAAGCACAATCTCAGGCATTACAGATAGATTCGCATACTTTTTTTATATATAAGCATTAGCCGTGTTGAATCATATATATTATTTAAGAAGAGGCCTTGATTATGATTTTGACTCTGATACAAAATTTACGCTTTGATCATCTCATTAATCCAATTCTTTTCTCTTTGAGTGGAATATCCCCTGTTCAATTTCTTTTGCAGCTTTAATTAATCGGTTAAATGAAGCAATGGTTTGAAGAGATACTGCCTGGAAACATGACAGGTGGTTCGGATATGGAAACAAGTCAAATGGTTATTTTAAGCTTCCTATTCTGGACTATGCTTTTAAACTCGGCTGTTTTCTCCTAAGCTGAGATTCCAGAACAGTACCAGGAGACCAAATGCTAGACATTAAGGGTTTTTAGTGACATTTTTTTAATCTAGAATAAAGCTGAAAGTGTGGTGTTTTCACTGTTCTCATTTTTACTGTGCATGCTCTTACAAATCATGGTAGATAAAACCCTGAAAATAAACAAACAAACAAACAAATAAAAATATAATGGATGCATATCTAGGCTTGAGTACAGCTGAATCTTAAAATACGCCGAGATGGGATGATGAAGGGGACGAAAACATCAGAAATTAAATGAAAGGGCATTGTAGCGATGTTAACAATCACTACACCATAAGCAGCCGAGGGGAAAGAAGAGAAAACCAAACTTTTGCAAGAAATTATCGTAAACTCCACAAAAAGATTTTAAAAAAAAAAGACATGATAAAAGGGAGCAAAGGATTGTGGTGGTAGATTCAAGAGAATCGGGTACACAAAATTGAGGGAATTAAAGTTAGGAGAAGGAAGAAAGATTGAGGAAAACTTCGGGAGAAGGAGAGGGGAGAAATCATCCAATCCTAGTCATTTTTCTTCTTCAAACCTTCATATTATAAGGTACCTTTATCTCGGAGAAATTGATTACATGTTTAAAGAAGGTTACCTTATGTACATCGATTTGTTATCGATTTGTTTAGATAGATTTAACAAAACAAATTTATAACCTAAAACAACAGTTAATGACAAATAAAATACCTTATATTAACAATGCAAATAAAATAACTTAACAACATCAAAACCTGATTTATCATTTAGCATAAAATACCTAACAAACACAACAATGAGAGTGCTAAAAGAAACAAGATAAAAGAAAGTAACTATTGTTATCATAACTAAAACAAAAACACTTATCAATCCAATCATTATTAAAGGAGCAACTTAAACAAAAGTGAGAGTAGGAGAGCTATAATCACACGAGTCTAAAACTAAAGCCTCTAGAAGTTGACCACAAAGCTTAGAGTTGAAGAGAAACTAAATAATGAATGAACTAAAAAAAAAAAATTCAGACAGATTAGCAATCAAGCACTATGTTATCAGGTGTCCCTCCAAACAAAACCAAAAGCACGAGCTGTCAAACAACAATTAAAAAGCTGATTAGGAAAAAAAAAACCCTTATAAGACTGAACAAAAGAAAAGAAAAGATAAATATATTAAAACAACATAGGAAAAAAATTATAATAATAGCATAAGCTTAAATATTACCTTGAATAACAAAGAGAAAACATGACAGATATAAGAAACAACTCGAGCATAAGCATGTAAGCAACAAGAGACATAGAAAAATTGAAAATTCAAATTAAATAGCAACATGGCAAACCACAAGAAAAAAAAAAAGCAGAAACAATAAAAAAATTAAAAGAAAAAAGAAAAAAAGAAACTTTAGCAGTCAAGAAAAAAAAAAGGATGTGAACTTACAATGTAACATGACTCATGATTAGTACTTAAAAGTGTATTTTTATCGAGGTTTTATATCATTATTTTACATTTAAAGTATTAATAACTCCTTAACTAAAGCATGTTTTTAATAGCAAGTCTGATACCATAAGGTATCTTTAATTTATGTGAAATGTTCATCCTAAATATAGGCCTATTATATAAATAAAAAGATTGATTGATAAGTTTAAGTATTGAAATTGAAATGATAAAGAGAGGGCCAAATTTATAAAAGAGATGCTGGTGCAGTCTAAACTGGAATGCTGTTCGGTAATTGGATCATATCTGGAATTATAGATCTCAGATTTAGGTTTACTTTATATGGATGGAAAGCTAAGACATAAGCCTAAAACTGGAAGTCAAACTCAATTCTGCTGTTTGAAAGTCCAGATTTTAGCAACAATGTAAAAGTTCGAATATATCTTGTAGCCCAGACACTGTTCAGTATTCAGCCCATATCTCGAGTTCTAGAAGTCTAAATAACCTCAATTTTTTTACTTGGAAAACTGAGATAATTTTCTAGAACTTTTATGTGATATAGTTTAAATTCTGACGATATCAATTATGTTTTATTCAGACAAGAAGATAAGGATTGTCACAAAGTCAAGATGTGGCCACCTACTTAACAATTAGTCATCAAATCAATAGTTTCAAATTTTGACCTATAAAAAGAGGTATTTGTCATGCATTTAAGCATTTTGGTTTCCAGATCAAGATCATGTTCTTGCTT